AGTAGATACCACCATAAGTATCTGGTGAACGGCCAAAACCGCCTCAACCGACCACTGTAGTAGAAACGGAAATGTAAAGAAAGCACCATTGATATCCAAGGTCAAACCGCACCAACAATTATATAATAAAGCTAAGAGGAAACATCCCGACGGACATATGGGGCATCAATCTTGTCACCAACCAGCAAAATATTTAAAGGAGGGGGGATCAGATCCCACCCAACATTAGAGGCGCTACCCAAGCTAGCAAGTCAATTTGCGGGTTGATTTCCCTCCCAATAATTGAAGCTCCATATGACATTCATATTAGTAATTAAGCATTTAATCCTCTTAATATAACAGAGGATGTCCCAAGATGCCTCGGCACCATTGGCAATAATGTCGACCAAGATGCGATTATCACATTCAAATATAATAAATTGTCATCTAAGAGAGTGTGCTCTCATGACAACCATCAAAATAGCCCGAGTTTCCGCCTCCAAAGGAGTATCAGCGTAAGATGGGGGAAAAAAAAGAGAATACAGTTCTCTGCACAATTTCTAGCAATACCCCCGCAGCCCGCATTGCTAGATTTCCAACTTTCATCAAAGTTAAACTTTATCCAACCCCTGGGAGGAGGCCTCCATCTCACCAAAACAGGAAGACGGGGAGGTCCCCTCTCAGCCATAACTGCAGGCCCCATAGACAAAAAATAATTAATGCCCGAAAAGAAGCTTTGTTTAGCCTTACCCGTTCTCCAAAGTTTATTAATATAGGCAATAATATTAGTAAAGTCCATTCTATTATGAATGGTTTTACCCTATGAATAATATCAACCAGCATATAATATAAGGGTAGACTTGCAACAAATGTTTCTGTTTTCGATTTGGATTGCAGATCATAATGGTAAGTAAGAGATTCTGCTCCGGATTCACAATAGTACCAAACCACGTGCCAAACTTCCTCCAAATGTAAATTGAAAAGGGGCAAGAAAAGAAAATATGGTCAACAGTCTCCTTCGCCAAGTTACACAAACAACAGCGTGAAGCAAGTCTCAACCCCTTCATTTTTAAGATATCATCACAAGGAATAACAGAATGAAAAATCCGCCAAGCCAGGAAAGACATGGAGGGAGTCAAAGCCCAACTCCACACCCCCTCTCCCCAAGGGAGCTTTTGAAAATTATGTAAAGCGGAATATAAGGATTTAGTAGTGGAGCATGACATTGGAAGTTTCAAAGTAGGAGTATCTTGCAAATGAGGCTCAATAAAAATGGTTGAGATAAAAGTAGCTCCCTCGGAACCGAGAAGATTAGGGAGATAAGGAAAGTTCCACTGACCATCCACCAAAGTGTCTGAAACCATAAGACTTGAGGTCCTAGTATCCCTCATTTTAAGCATTACATGGGACCAACAGTCATGTCAAAAGGAAATGTTTCCACTCCCCACCTCCCAACAAATGAAATCTTTTGCCCAATCTCTAATATGAAGCATTCTCTTCCACATAGTGGAATCCCCCAACCGTCAATTGATCAAAGCCGGATGAGAGGAGTGGCAATATTTCCCATGCATGAAAGTGGCCCACAAAGAATCACCTTTTCGAAAATTAAACCATTGTTTAAAAACATTAATATCAACAATGTGGTGCAGAGATTTGAAGCCCAAACCACCAGCATAAAGAGGTTTGCAAATATTCTTCCAAGGCATCCATCTTCTACCAGAATGATTCCCCACCCATAAAAACTTATTAAAACATCTTTTGAGGCTCAAAAGAGTACTTTTCTTGAGTTGAAAAACTTGAAGAGTGTATAAAGAGAGAGAATATAAAATACTCCTGAGCAATGTAATTCTACCCCCAAAAGAGAGAAAATTATTGCTCATTTCTTGTTTATCAATGGGCGTATAGCTTGAATCACTAGCATTTCCCCTTTGTTGGTTGTAAGTTGATACTTCACTTTGACATCTTTATTCACTCTTATGTCATTGCCCATTTCTTCAACTATTCGCTATCATTCACCTATTTGGGCAATTTGATGCAATGTGCTTAAAATAATGGCACTTAAAGTTTTTTTTGGTCGGGATAGATTTAGGAGTATTAGTGAGCTCCTTTTCTCCACTCTAAATTGATTTCTCCTCAAACTGGGTCAGCCTGGATGCTCTACTGGGTATACTTTGGCCGCTTGATCTGATGGCTAAATCATGTTTGAAAGGTGGCATGAACCTGATACTATTATGTTGTCTCCCCACCTCAGGGCTAGGATTTAAATGCCATGTAATGTCTGATAGCATTGTAACTCAATCCCTCCAAAAATCGAGCCACGGTGTTCTCCTCAAGCTCTACTAGCTCAAACTTCAACATAAATTGCTCGAATCTCCTCTACTGAAAGATCTTATTGTTGTAAGTAATGAAGTACCAAGAAAATATCATATTTATAATATGTTGGTACGTATTTGCGATGCATCTCAATTTTCATTTTAGACCAAGTAGTGATGTTGCTTTTATATTACGTTGGCGTAGGCGCTTCAAAATTTCTCACCACAATGAAGCATTTTTTTTTACTTAATAACAGCTAGCGTGACCTTTCTATCAGGTGAAATGTCCTTATACTTGAAGACTCGTTCCACTGTCTGGAGTCATTCAATGAATTCATTCGGATCAATGCGACCTTCAAAATATATTTCAAAATTTTGGCTTCTCTAATATTTTATGTCAAATCGTTGGGGTATTGGTTCTTCATGACTGAAAACTTCTTAGTGAAAGAGACTCATTGCCTCCTATCGATCATACAAATCATTATTGTGGCTATAGGGGACCACTTCAAGTTGTTTCCTCTCAAAAGAAGCAAGACTTTGTAACAGTTAAAAGATTTTTCGCTGCATATGTTCCATAGTAAGCTCATGGACATCACTTTGTAGATTTCTCCTAGGCGGCATTATCTCCTCTTCTTCTGATCAGAGTTTCGGCAGATATAGGATTGCAGATCAAGGTTGGTCGGGGGCTTAGGTTTTGATGGTAGGTTTCAGGATGAGTTTTCGGTGAAGTCAGAAGGCTGGATTTTAAAATTTTATGGTTATGACTAAGAATTACGGTAGGAATGATTTGAGTATGGCCAATTTTTTTTTTTTTAATTTTGAATTGGGAGAAGGATAAAATCCTAAAAACTCTAGGGCTTGACAGGCTCTAATACCAAATAACATCATTCTAGGAAGCCTGAAAGGTGTTTAGAAAGACGATTTAGTGGAGAGATTATTGTGGGATAACAAGGGTAGGGGAATATGGGAGGCCGACAACAGTTGGAAGCGGTATGAAGCAAAATCTATTATTGGAAAACAAATTTGGCGTTAATCAACGGCTATTCAAACCCAACACGGCGAGGCAGATGACAAAATGGCATGGTATAGAGGTCGAGAAGCTTCGGCACTTGTTCTTGCACAAGCTGCATTCACACCACTTGCAAGAAGAATAGAATAACACTCCATAGGAAAAATCAGATATTACAATCACCAAAATACTCAAAACAAAACCAAAAGCCTTCCTCAACATAGAAAATAAAACATATAATAGTTTCCGTGCATAAATAAACCTAATTATAATTAAAGGAATATTAAATTATTAAAAAAAGGTCTCAAATGGCTAAAATAGTCGAGGGGTGAAACATGTCCCACTCGGGACTGTAGCAGGACGAGAAATAGTCCTGCTATGATCGTGCTATCATGGGATTCCGCAATCTGAAGCATCACGAGCGTAGTAACGGGAGAGCTCTCGCGTTAAGTTATGGTTGAATTGGATGTTTCTATTCCTCTTAAAAGGGAGGTGTTGATTGGTTCTTCTTATTGTGATTCTTGACAAAAGGTTGAATGTCAAAACATTCCTTCATAGTGTTATTCACGTAAGATGTTTGGAGATAACTGCCCTAAATGTTTCAAAGCTCATCCAAAACTAAGGAAACCAAACATCAATACACAAGAGGAGCACATTAAAAAACATATTCAATCCTCTAACATGATAGTTATATCCTACTTCAACAGCACTCAAAATATAGAATCAGCTTTAGATATTTCAGTGGATACAGAACCCTCTACCTGCCCTACTAACCTGAGGAGGATGATCACCTCAGCAATTGCAACCATGAAGATCGATCATGATCCTCCCTATATAGTTGAACCTCATCTTATTACTAATAAAACAAATGAAAAAATTTCAACGCAGTTCATACTTCTAATGAGAGTCTACAGAGCATTGACGCTTTGGTGGATTGGATTTTTAATCATGTTTGTGAGGCGACGAAGAAAATAGTTAAAAAATATTATATCGTCACTCATAAAGATTCATCAAGTTTTGAACAAGGTGGTGTTAACGAGTGTTTTGTATTTTTCCATGTTAGTAGTAGGATTTTGCATCGTTGCCTCATGTTATCGGTAACTTTGATTTTTATATTTACTTTTCATCATAACAATTCTTCAGACTTTTCTCTTGATGTGCTCAAATCCTTTACTAGTTATAAAATTATTGTTTAAAAAAAAAGGTCAACCTAATTTGAGTCTACAGAACTGGTTCAACCCAAACTTAACCAAATGTTGGTGAGCATTCCTGGTCGATAATAAGCAATAATAAGCAACACGTATGAATGACCAAAACTTGACATAGAACACTAACTTAGGTTAGTGGTTAAAAATATGAAAAGCAACGATTTGTGATAATTAAAACTTTAGCCGTAATGTTGGTGAGCATTCCGGATCAATAATAAACAATAATAAGCAAAGAATATGAATGACCTAAACTTGACAAAGAACACTAACCTAGGTTAGTAGTTAAAAGCTTGAAATTTTCAAAAGCAATGATTTGTGATAATTAAAATTGCGTGGCCTGCTTAAGCACCCAGCCTGTAATTTATACTATGCGTTTATTACAACATGCAAACCAAAACCAGTGCAAAAAATGGAAATTAAAAGAATGATTGGATCCAATGAGTGAAATGCTGCACAATGATAATTTTAGTAGTTAGTAAAGGATTTTCTTACCTGGACATCACTATTTCCATCATTTCTTGATCCGTTAGATTTTCTGGAATCTTCTGACCTTTCGTTTGCTCACTGAAAGCTAGCAGCATCCTGCAAATTCCAAAAAATATAATGGTAAATACAAATAAAGAATCTCGAAAACAGCTTCACAGAGTAGAAGTGGCATGTATGGAACTCTTCATAACCAATATTAATGTCTCAAATGTTCATAAATCACCATCTTCATAATTGAAATAAAACTTACTGCTAATTTAGCAATTAGGGCTAACTAAAATGTTAATCTTTCAGATGAGGCATGGTTCTCCACATTTCAAGCAACAAAAATCTGATAAGTCGCTCAAGAAAAAACCTGTAGCATATTTATTCTTAGAACAACAGAAAAGCAGGTAAATGATTTCCCATATCAAAAGAAACCATCCAAAATTAACCGAAGATCAACTATTTCTAGGAATTTTCAGTAATTTTGTCAATGCAAGATAAAGAAAATAACATTTATAACAAAATTAATTCACACATCAATCATCATTACTTCTTTTGATCTTTCTTATGCTTTATTTATTAGTTTCCATTATCTGCTGCCCACCAGCAAACTTTAAAAAATCTAGGTTTTTTTCTTTTTCTTTTTGTCGCAAGCACATTTAATGTACAATCAGATGTCCAGAAGAGGACATCTGACCACTCTTTTCTCACAGACAATCAAGATGCTCCCTCTAATGATAAGTAGGGTAATAACACTAAAAATTTGTTGATGCGTGTGATAGTTTAAGTCACTCATACTATATAATCTGCTATCATGACCTGTGAAATGGTTGCATCGTCATTCAAAGAAAATAAACTAAATTGTTATTCTAATAGGTAAAATATTTCTCTTCCATACTTAGTAAAATTACTATGCTTTGCTCGTATCCTGACACCTTATCTTCTTAGAAACCAAAAGAAAGTCATACAATAGAAATTGACAAATGATTGTACTGTAGCACAGGAGCGTTTTTTCTATACGGACTCTTGACCTAGCTCTACGTGCGGCGTAGGTTATTCTTGAGTTATTTTCAGGTTATTTCTGGGTTATTTTCAATAAACCGAAATAACCCAGAAATAACCCAAAAATAAATACCCAGGGTTATTTCTGGGTTATTTCGGTATTATTAAAAATAACCCAGAAATAACCTAAAAGTAACTCAGAAATAACTTCCGCCGCACGTAGAGCTACGTCAGGAGTCCGCACAGAAAAACTTTTGGTAGCACAGATGGACGATTTGCATAAAGGGCAAGAAAGAGAACTTGGTCAGCATTTAGAATTCAAGGTTCCAGGAGAGAGAAGGGTAGGAAATCTTCTTTCTTGCTAAATGCAACATTCCTTCCCTATATTTTCGTTTTGACGTTTGCCATGAATTAGTGCACCTTTTCCTTTCTAGTCAAAATAGTGGGAGGCGAACTTGTGTCGGAGAATACATACTTGATTTGTGGGCTTCCGTATGGGTCATCAGCAGGAAATAAAGAGGAGGGAATGTTAGGGGGGAGGAAGAGAGGATTTGAAGTAATTTATAGGGAGAATTCATGTCGAGCAACCCATTCAAGGTAAATATTGACACTTATCGTTAAGTGTGGGTTAAATTAAGACCTAAAATATGAATTTATGAATATTCTAAGAGTTTTACGAATTTCAAATTGTTTATACTAGGCGGCGTGTTCGAGACAAGAGTGGGGTAACTTGTCGGGGGCTTCTCAGTCAATTCAGGTGAAATAATCATGTGCTAACTTGAGAAAAATAACACTCTGTAGCTTTCCATGAGATTATGTTTAACACTAATGCATTTATAATTTTCTGCATACTATAAATGAATATCTATGTAAATTGTATAAAGATAAACTTAATTTGTCCCTTAAGATACATGTGATTTACTACATTTATGAAATCATCGTTTGCAGGTATTTGTTTACTCTAATTCAGGCATGTGACATATGAAATGTCTGAGATGAATACTTGTTATAGAAATTATGATTTAATAAATGGCACAAATGATGTTATAGATAGGTTATTACATGAATGTTTGCAAGTACGGATGACATAAAATGATGAGATTCCCGACTCGTGATATTTAGATGAAGATGAAACACCAAGAACAGTTGGGATCAGACGAGGACGGAACATAAACCATTGCTACCAGAAGGGCTCTTGATAACAGCTATATTGAGGTGATTAACATTTATCAATAGATAATATAATCTTCGGACTGAGTGACGGCCCAATGACATAACATATCATGAGAATAATTGGTGCTTATATGATTATAAGTGACATTTCTATTATTAGACTGATGAATCATATGAATATGGTTATAACTACACATAAATGGATGAAATATATGATTTATACAGCAATCATAATTCCCTGCATTACATGTCTTTCTTTTACATATTTTATACAGCTATAATATCTTGTGATATGTGTTGTGAGCATGTACATAAACTATATATGAGCATTATTTAATTTTCTCTATAAAATCTTATTTTAGTCTTGATTATTTCCTTGAGCTTGTTGTAGCTCACTTTATATTGTTGATTTTCAAGAAAAGGCAAGAAGCACTATGGTGGTAGTCAAGTGTGACTTATACGTCTTTTGCATTATAGTTTTGAGAGCTTGCACAAACTTTTAAGGTACATACTTTTATTATATGTATAAAGATATATGTTTTGGCGATATGATTTTTCAAGCTTCCTAGTATATAGAATAAGAATTAATTATGAAGTAAAATGAATCATGTGCATTTGCAGCGATTTAGTTAGACTGATTGTTTACCCATCGGGATCTAACTTTGCAAGTCAGGATGTGTGTTGGTGAGAATTTAATCTGACTGAATTATCTGCCTCTGTCGTACTGAAGTTGACAGTTGGAGTGTGACAGAAAGTTGTATCAAAGCAAGGCTATTAGATGAAAAGAATGATAGAAGCATATTGGATTTAGAAAAGGAATGAGTTTAGATATGAATTGATTTATACAGATCTATAATAGGTTGTTGGTTCGGGGTGGGTAACCCATATAACTTAAGGTACATGCAAACACAACATAATTATTATATGATAAATACATTTGAATAATAAATTATGCCAATATAACAGAAGAACCAAAAAATACTTAGATGCATTCTCCTAAGCTAATTGTAAAGCAAGAAGTACAAGTTGGAAATACGGGGCAAATGAAGAAACTAGAGCCACTGAGTTACAGAGCATAATTCAACTGATATCGCAAGTGGTTGACAAAATAACTACGATTAAAAGATCTTCTAATAGCATAGGGCCAAAACCTGAAGATAGTATAGAAGTTGATCAACATTGAAAATCTTTCAGAAATTCAAGTCATCTATATTCAAAAGTGTCAGTGACCCTACATTTGTTGAAGATTGACTACTAAAGATCAGCAGAATTTTGGATGGCATGATTTATCCTAAAGCAGGAGAGTAATGCTAGCCACTTTCATGCTAGAAGGCGAGACAAAGAGGTGATAACAGGCATAGCATAGATGGAGATTTCAGCTGACACCTTTTTCCACAAACTCAATGGAATGATTTTGTCAAAGTCTTCAAGAATTGGTTCATTTTGCCTTCAGCAAATTCAATGGAATGATTTTGTCAGTCTTCAAGTATTGGTTCATTCTACTTTCAACAAGATTAGCACTGCAAGATAAATTTTTCAATCTAACTCAAGGGTCCATATCAGTTATGCAACATGAGGCAGAATTCACTTCTCTTTTCAGATATGCCCCCCACTATGTCAATATCCAAGAAGAAAAATATCACAGATTTTTATGAGGTCTTTGAGATCAATTGGGTTGACTTTAGCGTCATTTTAAATTATTGACTTTTCAATACTAGTTGAAAGATTGAGAAGAATTGAAAATGAGCTAACTTTCCCCAATCAATGGTGGCAACCTTAAGCAACTAAGTGAAAAGACTTTAGCAAGGTAGAAGAATCTCAAAGAATGAAAATTAAACCAAAAGGTAAACAACAGCAGCCTCAGTCAAAAAGGCCAGTTTGTAAGAAGTATGGAAAAAATATTTTGGGCACTGCTTGATGGGGTTAAGAAAGCGCTATAGATGTAGAATGTTCGGGAATCTTCAAATGAATTGTCCACAGGAAAAGAAAATAAAACAACATACCAAGAACATTTCAATCATGGGGACAGCCCAAGAAAATTTTGGTAGATAGTTAGTTAGGCAAAGCTCAATTTTTAGAAAAGCATTCATTGCAAGCAATGGGTGAAAGTTCAGAGCACCGACTAGTGAAAAGAATTTTTGTAATTACCCCACAATAAACTAAAGAATCTGAAGAAGTGGTCATAGAGTCAAAGAAGCAGACATAACCAAGATAGCTTTTGGGTACAGAGCATTGCATTATTGGGGCACATCATCAAGCAACAAGGATTGCCAGTAGATTCAAGGAAAGTGAAAGAAATCGTAAAATGACCTACACCTAAGAATGTTACCAAGGTACGCAGTTTTTTGTGTTTGGCCAGATAGCATATGCATCCAAACAGTTTAAGTCAGATGAGAGAAATTATTCGGCACATGATCGGAAGTTAGTTGTTGTGATATTTGATCTCAAGATCTAGAGACGTAAATTATATGATGTGAAGTGCAAAGTCTTCATTGATCATCGAAGTCTAAAATCTATTTTCCCAAAAAAAATTGAATTTGAGGCTGTGAAGATGGAAAGAGCTCATCAAAGTCTACAATCCAGATATATAATATTATCATAGTCGAGCAAATGTAATTGCTGCTTTTTTTAGTGTAAATCCACGTGTAAGACAAACTGGATTATTAATCACGAATTAGAATCGGTTAGAGAAATTGATGTCTTGCAGTTAGAAGTAAGAAACAAAATTAGCGATATAGGATACTTACATCATGACAGTGCAACTAGCTCTAATAAATTGAATCGATGTAGCTAAGAGAGTTCACAATGAATATCTGAAACTCTTGAAACAACTGCAATCAAGAAAGAGATCAAATATAACTGTTGATGAAAATGATGTAATCGGAAACAGGTTTCAACTATGGATACCTGCTAATCCTTATTTGAGACCAAATCTACATGAGGCTCATCATTCTAAGTACATAATTCATCCAAGCAATACTAAAATGTACAAGGATTTGAAATTAATATTTTGGTGACAAAGTACAAAGAAGGATATTGTTGAATAAGTGTCTAAATGCCAAGCTCATCAAATCATAAAGGCTAAGCATCATAGATCAAGCAGACTGCTACAATCATTGGTTTTACCTAAATGGAAATGAAAAGAAATTGCAAGTAATTTTGCTATGAGATTCTCCTAATCCAAGCACAGTCACAATAGTACTAGGTCATTATTAACAGGTTAACAAAGCCAGCTTATTTCTAGTCAATCAAATAGTAAGATTCAGTTGAAAAGTTAATCAGACTATATGTAAAAGAAATTATCAGATTGCAGAGAATTTCAAATATTATCATTTCTGACAAAGATGTAAGACTTACGTCCAGGTTGAGGAAAAGCATCTAACAAGGCTTGGGCACACATTTGTATTTTAACATAGCATTTCATCTACAAAACGACGGACAATTAAAAAAGACAATTCAGGTATTGGAAGATCTGTTAAGTTTTTGTGTCTTTGACTTTAGAGATAGTTGGGAACATTATATCCAAATGATCAAGTTCACCTACAATAATTGTTATCAATCAAACATCAAAATGACTATTTATGAAGCACTGTATGACAAGAAATGCAGAACTCTACTAAGTTGATTTGAAGTGGGTGAACATCACATGTTAGGTCCTACGTTAGTTGATGATATCATGGAGAAAATCAAGTTAATCAGAGACAGATTCAATCAATCAAGATCAACAGCAAAAATAATAAGTCTCAAAACGCAAACTAGTAGAATTTAAATTAGTGATTTTATATTTTTAAAATTCGGGCCAATGAAAGGAACTGTCAGATTTGTTCAGGGAAGCATGTTAAGTCCGGGTACATCGGTGCTTTTGAATTATAGAAAGAATTGGTCTAGTTGCTTACAGGCTAGCTTTACCTACTGATATGTCAGATATTCATGATGTGTTTCACATCACAATACTGAGTAAATGAATTTTAACTTCAGACCACAGGATTTCACATACAAACATTGACATGCTGAAAAATTTAACTTAAATTGACAAGCGTGAGAAACTTGTAAAAATTGCTGTTAGGGAGCTGAGAACAGACAAATTTCTTTTGTCAAGCTACAATGGAAGCACAAACCTGAAAAAGAAGCTACATGGGAAAAAGAAAAAAAATGCGAAAAAAACATCTCTTTCTGTTCAAGTAAATTAAAAAATTTTGAAAATGAAATTTTTATGAGGAATAGGAGTATCGTAAAACCCAAATTTTGCCAATTTTAGGTAAAATTTGATAACTTTAACATACACCACAAATTTTTCACTCCCTAAAATCCAATTGAGTTAATTTTATAAAATTCTACATCTTGAATCGATCAATTTGATATATAGCACTATACATGAATTGTAAGTATATAGAAAGATATGAAATTTTGAAATAACTATTTAATTAATACCTTAACTAAACCTAATTAGTTTTCCTAATCTCAAAGAAATATTGTAGCTGTAGTCGCACCTTACTCAACATGTAACGGCTGGACTCAATCATATGGCTAAGATTTATTTGAATCACATTATTTGTCGCACTCCGTTTAATTTTTCCCCTCCCGATTCTTCTTTTCTGCAGTCCTGAAGGGTGTTCCAATTTCAGTACTATAGCACAAAAGGGTGATTGGTGGAACAGAGAGTCAAAACTTAGGATTTGAGGTATCAGGGAGAAAACAAAATGTAGGAAATCCTATTTCACAATAATTGCAACATTCTTTCCCTTCCCTACATTTTCGTTTTGATGTTCACCACGAATCAATGCACTCTTTCGTTTCTGATTGTTGTTGCAGGAGGCGAAATTGTGTCTAAGACTACAGACATGGTTTGTGGGCTTCCGTAGGCCCATTAGCAGAAAATCAACAAAGTAAAGAGAAGGATCGAAGATTAGGGGGAGGAAGAGCG